TGGGTGACAAAGGAAGCGTTTCTGACGTGTGGTTGCAGGCTTGCCAGCTGCCTGCGTGACCTTCTCCCTCCTCTGCAGATGCCAGATCTCACTAGGGATCTCCCTTTCTGGGAGGCAGCTTCAGGCTCCTTTCCTGCTTCCCACGCCCGCGCCTCCCTGGGCGTCCTTCCTAGGATCACTTTGTAGCTGACGGTGCACTTGGGCTGCTGGCTGGGAGGAAAGTCCCCAAGGAATCCCCTCTTCATTCTTGTTCCGCGAAGAATGAACAGGAATTTTTGTGTTTTATTTTTTTCTTTTCTAAAATTACAATACTTTAGGCAGGGATAAATTTGCAGTGATTTTTTTTCAATAAAATGTGAGATATGAAAGGCAAAATGCCTCACCCATACAAGGCCTCACTAGATCCATAGCTCAACTTGAGCTCGAGCAATGTCAGCCTTTTGTACATAAACAGTCCCCAGGTCATTTAAGATATGCAATCAATAGGCGTGTGGAGTTGGCTGTCTTTTCTCCAGTAGAAGATACTGTATTTTAGGACATTTTAGCCCAAACATTAGTTGAATGACATGTTGTCAGGTGTTACTTAGTAAAAGTAAAAACTCATGTGTACCATGTAAAATACAAGACATGCCCAATGTTACTCTACGGCAAGACTGGTTGGTGCCACCTGCATCCTTGTAGGTGTGTCTCGCCGGCTGACATTGAGGTTGAGACCACAGAGGCACAGTCCCCTGGTAGAAACCGGTGTGCCTTAGACAGAATTGTTTGTTTACATTAGCTATGAAAATGCAGATATTCCATTATAGTAGGAGGTGATATGGCACTTTATATGCAACGGTAGATAGACAGAATGGCCCGAATTAGGGGATGAATAATCAGCTACCTATCCATTAATTCAACAAATATTTACTAAATACTTACTAGGTACTAGACAGTGTCTTAGATATTGAGGTACAGTGGTAAATATCGGATCAGGATCCTTTTCTCACGGGAGTTACATTTTAAAGCAGAAAAGACACATAACACACAGACACACAAAGACAAACAAGAAAATACCCCGTGATAAATATGAGGAGAAAAACAACACTCTAGATGTTGTGGTAGCAACTGGGCGGACAGGCTCAGCTTTCCTGCGGCCCTGACACTCCGGCTGCAACGTGTATGACAGGAAGGAGCCTGCCCCCTGAGGATCTGGGGGGAGTGCTCCCTGCAGAGGAAGGACAGAGTGGAAACAGAGGGCAGTGAGGTTGATGTGCAAGAGGCAAAGGAGGACACTGGCACCTCTGGGGCTTGTGAGGGGATTGAGGAGAAGCAGGAGCTGCTGGGTTCTTAGGCAGGATGGTGACAAAAAAGACATCAATGGAATTTAAAAAATAGCACTTAAGAATGGAATAGACTGTGAAAGAGAAAGAATATTGAAGTCAGATGATATAAAATATAAAATGGAGACTTCGGAAAAATTCAATTTAGAAAATGATTTTCCTCTGGGTCTTAACTAGTGTTTGGAACTGCCTATCTCTGATGAAGCCGGTCTGTGACACCATTCTTTGTTGGCCTTGAAATGAAGAATGGGGCACTTTTCGTTCTCTTAAGCATCTTATATCCCTCTCTAATGTCTATAACTTACCATGTTTTCCTTGGTTACCAACATAATGCATGTTTATGATGGAACGTTTGGAAAATACAGATAAACTAAGAGACGGAATAAAATCCAAATCTAGCCATCCAAGAATACTAGTGTTAGCATTTAAACACACACTTTCTTTATGCTTACAGAAGTCAGCACAGGTAGACAGCCAGTAATGTTTGTTGAATGAATGACTACTTGAAGTAACTTACAGCCTCTCAGGATTTCGTAGCTGGAAAGGACTATACAGGTGTAGGGACTAAGGCCTATACTATTGATGAAATGAAGCTATTAGAGAGAAGTTGAAATAATAACTAAGAGAAGCCAGGAAAAGATAAGTCTACAAGGAATGAGGTGAGTGTCATGTAGAGAAGGGATTCAGCTCATTCTGCCTTGTTCTGGAGAGGGCAAAGCCAAGACTAAGCAATACTGTGAGCTGTCGTAGGCCAATTTCAGCATAACACAGGGAAGAGCTTTTTTTCTTTTTTAAATATATTTTTATTGATTTCAGAGAGCAAGGGAGAGGAGAGAGAGAAACATTAATGATGAGAGAGAATCATTGATCAGCTGCCTCCTATATGCCCCAAACAGGGGATCGAGCCCACAACCTGGTAAGTGCCCTGACTGGGAATTGAACCATGACCTCCGGGTTCATAGATCGATGTTCAACCACTGAGCCATGCTGGCCAGACCAGGGAAGAGCTTTTTAATAGGTAGGGCTATCCAAAACTAAAATAGGTTTTCTTGAAAAGAAGTGAGGTGCTCCTAATTAGAAGTGTTCAAGTAGAAACAGATTATGTTTGAATGAATAATTTGTCAAGTATGCTTGAGTAGGAAAAACGTATTTTGTGTGCCTGGTTGGAATAAATAACTTTTAAGGTCTTTACCAAAACTAAGATGAAATGATTTTGTGAGTATATATCTCTATATCAATCATTATCTATATCTATGTAACGCACACATAGATAGATGGATAATTTTTGTCTTATTGACTTGTTACTTTGAAATGAAGCCTTTTGAGTGTGAACCCATTGTCTTTCTCATTCTAAATGGGATCTTATTAATTCTGTCTTTGCTGACCCAAATGCTAAGGTTTTAAATAATCTCCTTTTTAATACTAATTCAGTGTGCTACACACAGTAGTTCAAAAGATAAATTTAAATGAGCTCTTAAGTCTGAAAAAAAAATCTACATTTAAAATAAATTGAGCTATAGGCTCCATGCAGTTAGACAATGTGGTCTCAGCGGATCTCAATCAAATATATCAGTTGATCACATTCAAGAGATCTAAAATGCATTAATTTTTAAAATAAAAAAGGCTAAAATTAAAAAAAAGAAATTTGGGTAAATTGTATTGTGATCAGATAAAAAGTGTTCTCTTATTGGGTTTCTGAATGATGACATGAGATTATGGCTGGAATTATTTTCTAGAATATAAAGAATCCTTTTACTATTAAATTAGAAATATGGCTTAACTGCATTTCAAGTATGGAGTTACTGAAAGACTGTTCATAGTACAATAATTTCATCCAAATTCTAGTGGTGAAACAGCCAAATAAATGAACCATATTACAGGAATCCTTTCAGTTTTCAAGACTTCATATCAGTAGTAGAAATGGAGATCCTGACAAGTTCCTGCTTGGGTTCGGTGAGAGCCACTCTCAGATAGCAATCTAGCACAGCTCTGATGAGCACCACAGATGGCATCTATGGTGCACTCTTTGTGATTCTGACCAGAAAGAAAATGGATAAAAAACAGCAAAGATTGTCCTTTTTGGCTTCCCTTCCTCCTTTCCTTCTTCCTTCCTCTCCCCCCGTTCTTTCTTTCCTCCTCATTAGAAGGCTAAATAAGAAAATTCATGTTCGAGCCCTAACCGGTTTGGCTCAGTGGATAGAGTATTGGCCTGTGGACTGAAGGGTTCCAGGTTCGATTCCGGTCAAGGGCATGCAACTTGGTTGCGGACACGTCCCCAGTGTGGGGTGTGCAGGAGGCAGCTGATCTATGTTTTCTCTCTCATCAATGTTTCTAACTCTCTATCACTCTCCCTTCTACTCTGTAAAAAAAATCAATAATATATTTTTAAAAAAGAAAATTCATGTTCGAATTAAGTATCTCATTTTATTTACTATATCAACATTGTTATTGTTTGGCATATTCTTTTTAATTTTTTTTTTTACTTTTCAATTACAGTTGACATTCAATATTATATTAGTTTCAGCTGTACAGCATCATAGTTAGACATTTATATAACTTACAAAGTGATCCCCCCCATATCTCTAGTACCCACCAGACACCATACATAGTTATTACAATATTATTGACTATATTTCCTATGCTGTACTTTATAACTTGTGACTATGATGTAACTGCCAATATGTACTTCTTAATCCCTTCATCTTTCTACCTATCCCTCCCACCTGGCAGCCATCAGTTTGTTATCTGTATCTTTGAGTTTTTTTTCTGTTTATTCGTGAACTTTGTTTTTTTAAAAGATATATGCATCCCTATGTTCATTGAAGCATTACTTTCAATAGCCAAGATATGGAAACAACCTAAGTGTTCATCAGTAGATGGCTGGATAAAGAAGATGTGGTATATATACACAATGGAATATAACTGGGCCATAAAAAAGAATGAAATCTTGCCATTTGTTTTGGATATGCTTAACAGTAAAAAATGATGGCTTGAGTCAAGATAGGCCTTCCATTGGCTATAATAACACAGCCATACCTTTTCAGTTAGGGAAATGTATAATATTTCCGGGGCAGCGACACCTTCTATGTTTCAGACATTGTGTAGGTGCCAGAGAGATGAAAATGCCAGGCATGAACCTTGGCCTCACAGAGAAAGGCATAGAAAATGCATAGCAGAGATTCATCATAGAACCCAGATGAGGCTCAGCGTTCTTTCTTACCCAGGACTCCAGCCAGTCACTGCTGATCTATCACAATCGGCGTAAGAGGTGACATCTATTAGTCACTCCTGGTAGGAAGTCCAAAGTACTCTCGTAACAGGTTTCATTCTGATAATCATGATCATGGTTATTTCATGTCTATAAAGTAAGACCCATTTCAGGTGTATCCTGCTGACTTTTGAGCTTTTGAATTCCACTCTCAGAAATAGGGAATAAAAGCAGTTTTTTAAAAAGTTACCTCCACTGCTGCTTTTGCCCTTTCAAATTCCTCTTCTAAGGAGTGGTTTCTGGAGAGTAATGCACTTCCCCATCGCTGTTCTTTGGTCAGTCGAGCCTGAAATGAACCAAACACATGATGTTATAATATTGGAATCACATAGCACAAAAGTACAAATGCTTTTCCTTTTTCCATATTCCCCTAGAGTTTGGCAGCACCTGCAACGGATTTTGGAGTACTTTGCAAGCATGATGTTGCCCAAACTGGAATGGTGCCAAAATGTGTGTGAGCACGCAAGCATGATTCTTTTTAAAAATATATACATTTGTATATATTTTCATTGATTTCAGAGAGGAAGGAAGAGGGAGAGAGAGAGACAGAAACATTAATGATGAGAGAGAATCATTGATTGGCTGCCTCCTGCACGCCCCACACTGGGGATTGAGCCCTCAACCCAGGCACGTGCCCTAACCAGGAATCGAACCTGACCCTCTGATTCACATAGGTCGATGCTCAACCATTGAGCCAAGCTGGCCAGGCATGCATGATTCTTCTCACAGGATTTTAGGCCTGGTGATACTAAAAACAACACCCAGGCCCAACCTCCCGAAGGTTTAACTTTAATTGGTCTTGGTGCCAGGCATTAATCTTTTTGTAAATCTCCCATATGATTCTAACATGCAGCTAGAATGGAGAATCTCCATTGGAAGACTAGACTAGCTGATATTTAAGCTTCCAGCTGCTTAGAAGGACGAGCCTCAGGTAAAACTGTGGGAGCTGCAGAGATGAAAGCTGGCAGCTGGGTCTTTCTCTTTAAATATGCAGCAGGTCCTCATTCTGGATTCTTTTCCCATTGCCTTTCCTCTATTGGCACATCTGTCTAATGCCCCATTTCCTTAGGACATTGCTCTCTGTTAAATAATAGTCACTTAGATAAAATCATGTCTAATAGCTCCAACTGCTTTGTCACAATTAACAGGCAAGTGCTACACGGCTTAGTTAAATGAAAATATTTCCAGAAGACCCCCCCCCCCAAAGAGTCTGCTGGAATTTTTAAAAATGGTACTAATTTTAAATTTGACAAATAATGAATACTTTCTTTTAGAAAAAAAATTAATTATGGAAAATAAGAGGTGCACCTCTAGATGTTTCTTTGCAGTTACCTATATATTTATTTATGCACTGATGGAACATCATGACGTGTTTCAAAATTTTGAAACATAAATGATACGCTATTCTGTAGCTTACTTTTATCTACTTAACAATACATCTTGGAGAGTCTCCACAATTTGTACGTGTTAATCTACCTCACTCTTCCCAGGGATTTCCTAGTGCTAGTAAGTACCATGTACTGTAGTTTGTTCAGGACTCTCTCCAGGAGTATTCAGGATATTTCCAAATTTTCTCCATTTAATTACTTGTTTTCTTGTCTACCTTCTGACTCTACTGTAGGATCCATGCAGGTACGAGTGAGTCTGGAAACTTTTGTACTGCCCCATCCCAAGCTCAGGGCCTGACAAGTGATTCGTGCCCCAAGGATGCCTGTGGAAGGATGGATGGCAGGGTGAGGGATGCACTGATAAGGCAGCCAGGGGCTGGGGAATAGGAGGAGACAGGCTTGTGGCATGCAGTATCCCGCTCCCCTTCTATCTGGGCAGGGAGGCTCCTTGGCCATGTGTTAGATTGCTGTCTTTCAGGAATGCTCAACCCCCAGCTTCTATGAGAATCACATCACTTGAACAGGCCTGGGTCCCACCCCAGACCAATGAAATAGAATCTCTGGGGCTGGGCCTGGGCATTAAAAGTTGGAAAAACTCCTCTGGTGATTTTGAAAAGCAGTCATGTTTGAAAACCACTGTTCTATAGCACAACTGTTCTTCACTCAGCACTTTCCATCTAACTTGGCAAACTCCTTTTGGCCCTCCTTTCCCAACTGGTTATATAAGCCTCTGTCCCTCAATCCTTTGCTTTAGAACCAACTCTCTTGTCTTCCTGCCGGTTCCCTCGTCAATGAAATAAACAAACGAGTGAATTTTAAACTGTGGATCCATAGTCAAACACGAACTTTGTGCATTTTTATAATGATGTCATGGATGGGCCATGAATGGCATTAGGAGAAGAAAAAGAAAGCACCAATATTTTTGTCCCAGGCCACCTCCTTTCATTAGAGGCTCTTTTCTCTGGTGAAACACAATCTGTCTGTCCTGTGAAGCTGACCTAACAGGGCTCCATTACTGTCACCGGCTTCCCTTCATCGATGTTTCATGACGCAAGTGGACTATGAGTCACAGATGCAAAGGGAGCCACACATGAGGGAGAAGAGGAGCATCTCTCTAAGAGCCTAGACTTACAGTTCATATTCTCATTATCACTTAAAACAGCAAATATAAGTAGATTCTCACTGAGCAAATGGAATGTTGTTTTGACAGCACAATGGCTATTTACAAGAACTGTTTTCCACAGTGTTAGAAAGGCTTTGGAATATTACTAAACAAATGTTATCTACTTCACGTGGTAAAGCCATCTATTTTGGCCAGAGAAGCACGAGATAAACATTATAAATGATAGGTAAATACTGAATGTAAACAGAGGCAGTTTTCAAGCTGAGATTAGTATGCAACTAAAGATTATAGGCAAACCTGTGATGTGGGAAAACATATGTAAGTAATGCTTGTAAATCGCTTAGTATTTACCAAGAGGAATGATAAATAAGACTATTATACCTATAAGTTTCAGTTGCAGCTGTTTTGGTAGAAGAGTATTTCCCTGTATCAGTAGTTCCCAAGCTTTAGTGGGCATTAGGATCACCTAATAGTGGGCATTAGGATCACCTAAAAGTCTGGTTCAATGCAGGTGGCTAGACCCTGCCCTGAGGGTTTCTGATTCAGTAGGTGGGGAAGCCCACCCCCAGGGTTTCTGACTCAGTAGGTGGGGGGAGCCCACCCCCAGGGTTCCTGATTCAGTAGGTGGGGGAAGCCCACCCCAGGGTTTCTGATTCAGTAGGTGGGGGAAACCCCAGAATCTGCATTACTAACAAGGTAC